AAATTATAATACCCAACCTTACAGCTACAGTAGTAACTACCCATAGTGTTGGTACAGGTTTGATTACAGCCACCATTATTTTTATTGCACTCATTAATATCTAGAACAATGCCTGAATAAATGCACTTTTACAAAATCAACAAACCCGAGCAATTGTGTTCATTAAATGATAAAGTATATCCAGTTTTACATGAGCAGTCATAAGATCCAATAGTATTACTACAATAATGATCACAACCACCATTGAATGAGCTACACTCATTAATATCTAAAAATAAAGATATGACAACAATTGCTTGACTCTATAACAGTAAAATGCTTTTACATTAATTAAAATAGGCAATAGGCAACAATTAATTTGTTGACCGAATTCAATTTTCTTGGCTAGCATAGATCTAGATTGCTGATAAACTAGGTCTACGTACTGAGGCTTCTAACAGCACACTCATCATACACTGCATACTATCTCAGAATGCTAATATTATGATACATAAACATTGTAGTGCAAACTATGTGTCAGATGGAAATGGAAGGAGATAGCTAATTTAAATTTTTCTGCATCTTCTCTTGTTGGATAAATTTCTTGTTCCCATTTTTTGCAAGAGGAACTAGAAGGCAGGACTGATCTAGCTGCCAAAGGTGTAGTTTTAACAAGGCTTGCAAGTTTAAACAACAGTAGGCTAAATTATGTATAAACACAGGGTTTTAAGATCATTTCTGCTTAATACTAACCTATACATGTATAATTGTCATTGTCTAAATAATAGCCAGATTCACATTCACAGTAGTAACTGCCTTCTGTGTCTATACATGTGTGATTACAACCAGAAATGCCAAGATCACATTCATCAATACCTGTAGCATTATAAGAATGTTAATTGATAGGCTATATTAAGAGTAGATAAGGGGGTATACCCTCCTTATCTACTCTTATGGCTACCTTTGCATGTTATTCCATTGTCACTTAAAGTGTAACCAGTGTTGCAGCCACACTTAAATGAACCCACAGTATTATTGCAAATCTGATCACAAAGAACTATACTGTGTGAGCATTCATCATCATCTGAAATTAAATCAGTGAAACACAGAACTGATACTACTTGTGTAAGCTCTAACCTATGCAAGTGTGATTATTGCTACTATCAAAGATATACCCAGTATAACAACTGCAGTAGTAGCTACCATCAGTATTAGTGCATTGTTGAGTGCAATTATCAGTATCTAGCTCACATTCATCAATATCTACATGAAAAGTAATAATAATCATCCTTAAAAAATAATTATACCTAAGCAGAAAATGCTTCCATTGTAGCCAGGATTACAAGTGCAATAGTAGCTTCCCTTTTTATTAGTACAAACATGTTGACAACCTCCATTGTTAGTAAGACACTCATTAATATCTATAAATTATAATTTATGTTGAATATTTCTATAGGTAAAACATACCAGTACAGTCTGTAGTGCTACCATTAATGAAATCATATCCATCATAACATTCACAATTAAAACTTCCAGGAGTATTAATGCAAGTTTGAGAACAGCCACCATTATTATCCTCACACTCATTGATGTCTGTAAATAAATCAATATCATGTGTATTGTACTAATGTATTATACCAGAGCAATTCTCAGCAGTAACTGTCAAATTATAATACCCAACCTTACAGCTACAGTAGTAACTACCCATAGTGTTGGTACAGGTTTGATTACAGCCACCATTATTTTTATTGCACTCATTAATATCTAGAACAATGCCTGAATAAATGCACTTTTACAAAATCAACAAACCCGAGCAATTGTGTTCATTAGATGATAAAGTATATCCAGTTTTACATGAGCAGTCATAAGATCCAATAGTATTACTACAATAATGATCACAANCACCATTGAATGAGCTACACTCATTAGTATCTAAAAATAAAGATATGACAACAATTGCTTGACTCTATAACAGTAAAATGCTTTTACATTAATTAAAATAGGCAATAGGCAAGAATTAATTTGTTGACCGAATTCAATTTTCTTGGCTAGCATAGATCTAGATTGCTGATAAACTAGGTCTACGTACTGAGGCTTCTAACAGCACACTCATCATACACTGCATACTATCTCAGAATGCTAATATTCTGATACATAAACATTGTAGTGCAAACTATGTGTCCGATGGAAATGG